AGCTCTCCATTATGTGATTGGGTAGTGATAAGTCACAACAGATTTTGTCAATGGTTGAATGTATTGTACATGTTCAAAAAAATATACTGATAGAGAAAAATTTGGAATTTTTTTTTTAAATAACTGTCAAGACAGTTACAAAACAAAATATTGTTGAAGCTATTGCATAATCTTGCAGCTGCAACATGGAAGGCGACCTTTTTGAGTAGGATCAAATGCATCTGCAAGATGGTTCATAAAATTCTACAAGGTCGAATGAAGATGCACTAACTGTACCATTCATGATCTTAAAACATAAATGTTTTTGAGAAATAAAATTAAAAACTGATAGACTATGTGTATGTTCACACCTTTCCATTGAGACATGAAATTCCTAATCCAATATCCCAAAATGCTGATGTCATCCAAAGACCAAATAAAACTAGAATTACTCCTTTAATGCTAAGCAGTAAAAGCATAGCCGGTGTGCCAATTTTCTCACAGCAAAAAATTTTGAAATCTGAATTCTAAAAAAGTAATAATTTTGTGTTTGGAATTATATAACATTATGATGGTATATGGAGGTACTGTATATTCCCCAGTCACCTCCCCCCACCCACAGGAAGTGCCGTATCAAGGAGTCTTAAATGGGGGGGGGGGAAGATTGAGAAGGTGATTAATTGGGGAAGGCCACTCGATGATTAGGTGAGTGAGAACTACTGTACTGTAGCTTACAAAATAAGGTGATTTACTTTAGCGTGACTTTTTTTTTTGGGGGGGGGGAAGTATTTACCTGCAGTTACGAAGACTGTTAGCCACTCCACAGTCCTAGTCCCCCGTACAAGTAGGGCGGGAGATAGACATTTTAAGGGTGGGTGAGTGACAACATTGCTAAATAATATGAAAAGTGGGTTAATAAGGGTGGGTGGAGGGCCATGAAATTAGCTTCAGACATGGTTGAAAAATGTTAACGCTGGTTGGCCTCACCCACCTCCACCCACCATAGCTACATCCCTGCATCTTGATCATACAGCACTGTCGCCTAATAGTTTTAGTGTAGTTTTTATTTGGAATCACTTTCATTACACACATCCAAAATGATGGTGCATCCAAAAGAGAATAATCAAACAGCAAATTGAAAAGGAAATAACTAAATACGAAAATCATTACAGAACTAAAGGTTCGGTTAAATAAAGAAAAATGACAATATGCCCCTTTTCTCACATTTTAAAATATTAAAAATCACCTCCTTTTCGTCTGCTTTTAAATATTCAAACATTGTATCTTATTTAGCCATTCTTGTGAATTGTTTTCCCTCATCAATTAAAAACTCACTGAATCAGTGATTTTTAGGTGAATACAATGTGTTAATATTTAACAACGCTCTTTCAAAACCAGCATTAATACCATACTGTAAGTGTCCCTTATTATGAAGGGAAAGTAGATACATCATGAATAACACCGACTTAAATATCTGAATCAGTGATTTTTAGGTGGTAGAACACAATGTGTTAATAAAACAATGCTCTTTCGAAACCAGCATTAATACTATACTGTAAGTGTCCCTTATTATGAAGGGAAAGTAGATACATCATGAATAACACCAACTTAAATATCTGAATCAGTGATTTTTAGGTGGTAGAACACAATGTGTTAATAAAACAATGCTCTTTCGAAACCAGCATTAATACCGTAAGTGTAGCTTACGGCTGTGATCTCACGCTACAATTATTCTCCTCCTACTTAAAATGGCTTCATTAATGATGCATCACAATTTTTCAACATAAAATATGCAGACAAATTTGCCTTGATGTACTGATCAAAAAACAATGCACTATGTGCGGGAATATGTTGTGTACCATAAACAAATTCTTTCTTCTCATTCCTAGAGAAAACAATACTATTTTTAATTTGAGTTAGTAAGAGTTCAACTTTCCCCAAGATATTCCACATACTTGAAATAATTATTAGAAAAAAAAATGACAAAAGGTAAAAATCATAACATAAAAATGCTTAAAATACTGTATATTCAATATTAACACCCTTTTCCACTTCATAGGTTAGTAATTACTTTGAAAGAACTCATTAAAGAGTTCAGTCCCTTTAAACACATACTGTAGATAAAGCAGTCAACAATTCTACCTACGCTAAGAGAAAAATATTATAATGAAAAAAAAATGTGTTTTTAAATCTCATTTTATAGAAAAAGGGAGAGGGAGTGTAGGGAGAGATTAATTTTCATTAAATAAGAAGCTAAAAGATTGTTTGATTTTAATACTTAATAGGAACATCAAATTTTAAAATATTTCCTAACCATATACTTGAATGAAAGCCTTTTTTTTACATTGAGTTCATTCAGCTTAATTGGAGTCGTCACAACTTGGATTGGGGATGTTTGTATTTGCAATGCTTCTTCTACTATTGAAACTTGTGAGAAAATCTTACCAATAAGGTACTGGTCTCCCTCTAGTTAAAGACCCATCTCCCAAAAGTGGTCTTTAATTAGAGGAAGACCTACCTGTATAATTGTATATATTTTTTTTAATAAAAATTCTCCTGAACCCCTCTGATTATATTTTTTTAGAAAGAGATACCATAGATCATGAACAAAATGTGTTTTATATTTGATATACCAATATTAGATAATAAAGGAAATGGAAGTACTGCATGGGAGTCTACTTCAAGCAATAATGAACTATCATTCACACATGGGATGACACAATTCAACTTTGTAAAAATATTGTATTCATGAAATACTCTAGGATGTAGTCAACTAAAAAAAGAAAAGCAATATGAAAATGTATCACAATATCCAGTATCTTATATGCCAAAGAATTCGAAATCATACAATAAAAACAACAAGTTCTTTTTTACCATTATGCAGTACTACGGTATATACAGTAGGCAGCTAGCCTTATAGGGCATATCATTGTTCACTATATTGAAATTGTGGTATAGTAATCAAAAATGTATGTAAATTTAAAATCATCTGTCTCTTATACACATCTAGTATACAGTATATACATTTGAATATTTCATTTTTTGTAAAAATGATTCGATATTTTGTAGTAATCATAGGCAATATATATATATATATGTATATATATATATATATACACAGTATATACATTTGAATATTTAATTTTTATAAAAATGATTCGATATTTTGTAGTTATCATAGGCAATTAAGGCTTATAAAATGTATGTAGTAAAAATAAAGTATTATCCCTGGTATTATATATTATGTGAATAATTTGGTAAACCTAAAAAATACTGATACAGATGTACAGGTCTCCCTATCCATTTAAAGACCACTTTGGGACCGGGATTTCATGGTCATAGCAGCTTTGGTCTCTATTAGAATAGTTAATTGGTGAGTACAGAAAAATGCTCTTTGATTACAGGTACAGTAGTCCTTAATTGGAGGGGTCTTTAATTAAAGAAATAACATAAAAACGAACATGATATTGTATATAACAATTATTATGTTATTGGGTTATATTATCAATAGAAGAAAGGTCATGTTGTATTTTTTGAGATTTTTGTGGTGAAAAGACTCAACGTTGAGATAGGTCTATTTGCCATCAAGTCTCGAACTAAATGTATGACTTTACTGTAACTTGAGATAGGACATTTTGCCATGAAATTAGACTGAAAAGCTATCCTAACATTTCAATGACAAATACATGTAATTATATAAACTGCATAGTAAAAAGTAAACTCTGCATTCTTTTCGGATGAAAGCTGCCAATATTTAAAAAAAAAAAATTTTAAATTGCAAATTAAAAAAAAAAACATAACTAACTCTAGCTTTAATAGGCTAGGTAAAGTGTGTTCAAAGAGAAACAAGACGCAACTTTGAAGTCAATTTTCTCAAAACTTCAATTTATAAGTGGGCGTTTTGTCATCTCAGACTAATAAGACCCAAGCACAAATCACTAGGGCTAGTACTAGGTATAGGCTAGTACTGTAGGGGTGTCAGTCAATCCGTACCCAAACAAATCCGTACCCAAACAAACCCGTACCCATTCCAACCCGTACCCACTTTTAGGTCAATCAGTACCCACGTTTGGTCAACCGGTACACACGTCATTTTGGTCAACCTGTAGCCAAAAGATATTTGTATCTGTACGATCTCGTGCGGTCTGTAAGATTGTCGTTAATATTAAGGGAAGTTTTCTTTTCCTCTGAGCCTATTTTTTATTAGTGTTCTTTTTTTCTCTTTTCTCATAATTTTCAAATTATTTTTAATTTTCTCTGGTTTTAATTTTTCTTTTTCTTTTCTTTTGCCTTTGGGCCTATTCTTTATTTCTTTATTATATATTTTACTTATTTATATTTACTTGTATTTATTTAATTACTAGACCCTACATTGTAAAACATTGTGGAAACAAATAACGACACCACGCATGGAGCCATAATATGTAGCGCCCCCAACTTGTGTGTTTCGGCTTCTTCGGCAATCATAAATTTCTTGATTGAATGCATTCTATCAAAGGTAATTATACCTTCTAATCGGTAAGTTAGGCGTTCATAATATAGTTTAATATGATTTATTTAAATAGACAATATAATTTGCGTAATGTTCTATATAGTAAACAATATTTTTCATCAAACTTGGGTACGGGTTCGTTTATGCTGTGTACGGGTTGAGCAAACGTGGGTACGGATTGACCAAAATTGTTGGTACGGGTTGATCAAAATTTGGGTACGGTTTGTGGGTACGGGTTGGCATAAGTACGGTTTGACATGTATTCGTACTGTAGTACCATAGCTTCCTAACAATACTACATACTAGGGTCTAGGCCTAGGGGCCTACTACTTGGCCTAGGCTAGGCTAGCTAGGCCTAGTACTGTACTCTAGTCACCAAGGCTAAGCCACCACTGTGAAGGCCTAGAGGCTAGAATAGCTCTCTCTAGGGATTCTAGCTAGGCCTAATCAATCATCACACGGTCTGATGTGACAAAAACCGCAATGCAAAACTGCGACAATTATTACTTCGCAGTGATAATTAACTCACCTTCTGACCTGTTGTTTTTGTCAAGCGCGTGCGAAAAGTGTGTGTGAGAAAACGGTAGCAGTACGGTGAAAACTAACCGGAAATAGTTGAGATAGCTGAGAATAAAATGGATCTGTTTTTCGTCAGTTTAGTGAGCGACGGTCCTTCATTGGATGACACACCGATGACACCTTATTCCCGGGGATCTGATAAATCCAGTCGCGTGTAAGCTAATGTTTTGATTTGGTCGTGTTACCATCATGTGTATGTTGTCGTGACTATTGTTTCCTTCAAATTCCGGTTCAAAGAATTCTTATTTCAAGAACGATGATTACTAAGTTTACATATCATAGGTACATTAAGAAAACCAGAAAGATATTTTAAGAATTATTTGAGGCTAGGCCTCTAATGCAAGTATAGGAGTATAGGCCTAGCCTAGCCTAGGCCTTGATTGGGGCTAGGCTAGGCCTTATCTATGCTACTAACAAGCCTAGGCTAGGGCTCTAGGTTAGCCGCGTAGCTGGGTCTAGGCCTTACGGGTCCTACTAAATACCACACGGGACCACTCGCGACCACACGGAACCACTCGCGACCACTCGGGACCAATCGCGACCACACGGGTGCAAAAATGATAAAAATATTACCACACGAGAGTAGAAAACTACTTAAT